GGGGGGGGGGTTTCGGCCCCCCCCCCCCCCCCCCAAAAAGGCTTTGTTCCCCCCCCCCCCCCCCCCGGCCCCCCCGGAAGCTGGGAGTGCAAAGGCCAAGATCATGGGCTTGCAGCCAGACCCACTGCGGTGTAACCCAGCCTGCCACTGACTGCCCCGGGGCCTCAGTTTCTTCATCCGCAAGATGGAGCTATCAGTCCCCACACAGGGGACTCTGGGAGGACCAGACAAAACATCCTGGGTGAAGGGCTTGAAACAGTGCCCACGGTTAAGTGTTCCATAGCTAGTCATCGCTGATCCTCTGCTGGGGCCGCCTGGAGTCAACCTTCCGGAACCAAGACCCCAAGCCTGGAGAAATCACCCGCAAGCTTTTTTGCGCAACCACGTGGGGTGTCCCGGAGCGTGCGGGGATCCAAGGATGTTAAGAACTGCGTTTTCACGTGGGGAAGTAGATACAGAGCTAGGAAGGGGGACCGTCTCTCCCCCGACCCCACCCTGAGACCCTACATACCAGCTTGCCCGCCACCAACACTCCCAGGGCCTGCAGAGAAACTGGGAGCATCAACCTGGTCCAGCAGCGTCACTGGGCACCTGGACCTTAGCAGGGGCCTCTTGGGCGGGGCGTGAGGGGGGGTTGCTCCGCTTCCGCACTTGCCCCACCCGTTTCCCAAGCGGCCGCCGGAGGGCGCTCAGAAAACCGAGTCCGTTCCAGGGCTAGGCTTAGCACCTTCGAGGTGGTTCCCCCCACCTCCCCCCATCGCTCAGCAGAATCATCACCAAGAAGCACAGGGTCCCACACCACAGACCTGCTTTGCTCCCTCCCTCCCACTCTCATCCCCCAGCTTCCAGCCACGTTGGCCTCCTTGCTGTCCCTCAACGCTATAGGCATTCTCCTGCCTCCTTCCCCCCAAGATCTCCGTGGCTCCCTCCCTCACTTCATGTATGTCTCTGCTAACATGTCACCTCCTCAAAGAAGTCTTCCCTTCCCACCTGATCCCAGGTGCCTGAATGTGCAGTTACACAGGTTGTCCACTGCGCAAAGCACTCACTGAAGGGGTGAGAGGCGGCTGGAGTCCACCTCACATTCTGTCCTTCAAAACTAAGTGCGGAGAAGAAAGTGGAACTGCTTTCTAGTTCGCACAAAGGTATTCTGGTTTGGGACTAGCCTCATCCATTCTTCTACCCCTTGTTATGAATTGTGTCCTCCCCCTCCCCCAAGGAGATGTGCTGATGTCCTAAACTCCAGTGCCTGTGAAGTAGATCTTATTTGGAAATAGGATCTTGGCAGATGGAAGCGAGTGAAGAGGAGAGTATACTGGAGTGGGGTAGGCTATAGTTCCATGTGGCCTTTTTTTTTTTTTTTTAAAGATTTTATTTATTTATTTGTCAGAGAGAGAGGAGCGAGAGCGAGCACAGGCAGACAGAGTGGCAGGCAGAGGCACAGGGAGAAGC